TGCCCCATCCCCTCTCCTGATCTCCCCTTCCCTCCGGTCATCTCAAATTTGCCTCCTGTCCCAGAGCTGCTCCACAGACTGACTACACTCGTTCTCATCACAGGGCCTTTGCACGTGCCGTCTCCTGGCCTTGGCACAGGTCTCAGTGTGGCTGCCTCCTCCTGGCCACCCAGATTCCACAGCCTCGCACCCGTTTCCCCCTCCCTCCAGGAAACCTCCCACCCGCTCTCGGCCCTGTGGCCCCATTTCAATCCTCTGTCAGTGTTTGTGCTCCTTGCTTCTGTCTGCGTGTCCTGTTTCCCCTCTCTAGGACGGCTAATACAGTGGCCGTGATTAAAATGAAAGAAGATTAAAACTTTAGTCCGTCAGTCCCACGAGCTGCATTACAAGTGCTCGGTGGCCACCTGTGGCTGACGGCTACCGAGCTGGACAGCCTGGTGGGGAGCACGCCCATCATCACAGAAGGTTCTAGAGTGTCTGCTCCTCAAGACGGGGACTCTGTGTGCGCAGTCCCAGCCCTGTCCTCAGCACCAAGTGTGGGGTCGGGCACGTGTCTGGGATGTTGACGGATTGGTGCCAGTATGGGACACTACGTTGGGCAGTGCGATGTGTACCCCAAGATGATAACTTTCCTTTTGGGGTGAAGGAGCCACACCGTTTTCCTCTGAGACTGCTGCAGAGGAAGCACATACAAGGGAGACCCCCAAAACCCCAGAATTGTCTTTTGAAGGGTGGGCCCCTTGCCATGCACGCCTCCCTGGTAGGTGAGTGTTGTAGAAACCCTTCGGCATCGGTGTGCCAGCTAGCGTTGTTGTGAGAGACTGCGTTCGGTTTCCATGAATTCTTTTTGGAGATTTTTTTCAGCACATTTGCCCATTTCATGATGGGTGAGTTGCGAGCACACCTGCCCCCACCTTGCTGAGGGCTCAGCCGTTTTTGGCCAAAAACAGCGTAACTCACACACCCCACCCTCCCTATTCATCCAATCTCACTCGGATGAAAAAAGTCCTCAAAGGGAAACGTTGATGTGGAAGAGGTGAAGCCAAAAACGGCAGAAGCCCTAAAAGGCATCAAAATGGACGGGTTCAAAAACTGTCTTGAGCAGCAGGAAAACGTCTCAATAGGTGTGTTGCATCATGCAGAGAGTACTTTGAAGGGCATGGAAATTTAAGCATGTAAGAATAAATGCGCACTTTTTAATAAATAAATTTTGGGTTTTTGGGACCCCACCCATACACCTACATGTGTGGAGCTGAAGCGGTTTGCTCAAGGGCAGACAGGCAGCAGGTGCAGCAGGTGCACCAGGCTGTCGTGAGCAGCAGACTTCAGCTCAGCCCAAACCCCTGCACACCCAGGCCAGGGCCTCTCTGGATCGTAAGCTCCTCATTTGGAAAATGGGAACAGAATCCTGTCTTGTGTACGTCTCAGCTGTTGCAAGGCTCGTGTCTGATCAGAGCAGGTTGACGAGTGCTGTGGAGACGCCAAAGCAGCCCATAGACCAGCAGCGTCTGGGTCACCCGGGAACCTTCTAGAATGCAGGCTCTCCCTAGGGGTGGATCTCTCCGTCTGGGTGGTGGTAAGCCTCCCCCGTGATGCCAATGTGCACCTCATTTTAAATATGTCATGACATCACTGTTGCCATGACACGTGGCATAAATTTCAATTTCTGTTGAGGAGGGAAAGAAGGGGACAGCCCTTGGGAGCCACGTGAAGCCCCTGGGAACCAAGCAGGGCTGGTCAGCCTGTGTGTGAGATGGCAGGTCCGTCCCTGAGCCGGCAGCCTGTGCCCCGCCCCTCTCAGCCCAGCCGCGGCCGGCCTCCTGCCTCCTCCACTCCCTGCCTCCTCCTGGCACCCATTCCCGTTGATGAGAATGATTAACTCCAGGACAGCAGCAGCAAGCCCAGGAGCTAGAGCCTGTTGCTGTGAGCCGTGTGCTGGGCGCTGGGCTCATCGTTTTACATTAATTGACTCATTTGACTCTCAGGACAGGGCTATGAAGTGCAGTTGCGTGTCGCTTAACGACCGGGATATGTTCTGAGAAAGGTGTCCTTCGGCGGTTTCATCATGTGAACGTCATGGCGTGAACTCACACAGACGTAGAGCCTGTTGCTTCCAGGCTGCAGCCCTGCACAGCATGTGATGGCATGGAGTACTGTAGGCAACCAGGACAAAATATTGTGCATCTAAACACAAAAAAGTTCCAGTAAAAATACAGCATTATAATTTTATGGGCCCACCGTCACACATGCGGCCTGTCATTGACCAAAAGGTTGTTAATGCGTCCGGTAACTGTCTTGCTATCGTCCCTTTTTACGAGTGAGGACGCCGTGGCACAGAGAGGTTTGCGACTGCCCCGGGTCACGTAGCCCGAGAGTAGCAGAGTGGCATCTGAACCATGTACCTGGCCCCAGAGCGCCCATCCTCGGCCACTGAACTGGGCAGCACACAGGGTGTCTCCTCTCTGTGAGGATGGGGGACCCCACTGCCCTCCCTGACGTGGCTGTCCTCGCTAAGATGAAGAGACAGCACTAAGGGGATTGCCAGGAAGGAAGGAAGCTGGACCGATGTCAAAAGCATGCTTATGCCTACAGCATGGTGTCTGGCTCACTCTCAGGCCTGCAGGGCGTGCTGTGGCCTCACTGGAAGTGTCCGCCTGGGCAGGCCCCAGCCTCAGCCAGGACTCACAGCGGGGCCGAGCTGACTGCCACCGAAGCTGCTCCTGGGGCCCACCCGCCCCTCCACCCCTCCACCCCTCCACCCCTCCACCCCTCCACCCCTCCCTCCATCCCTCCACCCCTCCCCGCGTCCCATCTCGCTAACATGGATTGGAGACGTGCCCCTCCCACATCTCCCCTGACCTCACTGACCCCCGGCTGGTTGGGTCCCTGCCTGGGCTGCCCTGGGTCAACCCTTTGTGCGATGATGTATTGAGAACTCACACGACCCCATGGTGTCACCCCATCGCTGCCCCACTTCACACAGGAAGAAACTGAGGCTGGGTAGGGGGAGTGATCAGTCTCCAACCCCAGCTGGGGCAACCCCACAACACTGTCTTACCCACAGCACCATCTAGCTTCTTGCTGGTCCCTGGGAGGGACCGTGCCACGACCTCCCCCTGTGTGGTGCCCAGAGCCCACTGCAGCCTCTAGAGGGGCAGCTCATCTGTTCTCTCCTTCTGCAGGCCAGAAGCACCTGTGTGTCACCAGCCTCCTGATTTGCCAGGGTCTGCTCTGGGTGGGCACTGACCAGGGTGTCATCGTCCTGCTGCCCGTGCCTCGACTGGAAGGCATCCCCAAGATCACAGGTGAGGTCTGGGGGCTGGTCTTGGCAAGGGCCTGGAGCTCAGCTGCGGGTGGTGGGCGGGGCTTGGTGGGGAGGGTGAATGGTGCCCAGGGGCTCAAGCTTTCTTCAGGTATGGAGGTGGGGTCCCATCTCCAGCTTTCTTTCATTGCGGGTGGCACGGTGGCACTAGATCATCCCAGGCCTAAGTCTCTCACTTCCTTTCTGAGTCTCAGTTTCCCATTCTGGCAGGCAACTGGGCACAAAAGTGGCTTGAGAATTGGCTGAGACCTCCAACTAACCACAGAGGCTCCTCTGTGCCCCTTCTGATCCCCCTCACAGCGGTTTCAAAGTGTCCCAGCTCCAGAGGCAGAAATAACAGGGCTCCTGGGTCGGGTCTGACCGCTTCCTGCAGGCCACATGCAGATTGATGGCATGGAGGAAGGTCTGCTCTGACCTGTGTCACTGGGGCCCAGGAGCACAAGGGCAGGGTCAGGGAGGACCCCTGACACTTGGGTACCTGGATCCCTGGGCCCTTTTCTGCCTTGGCCCCAAGAATGACAGTGGTCTCTTCCAGCCTGAGAGCAGGACTGAGAGGAAGCCAGTTCCATCCAGATCTTGAGCACTTCTGCTAAAAAGACTAGCTTCAGCACGATTTCCTGTTTTCATGATTTCATCAGCCAGGGCATTCATCTGAGAGGCATTTATGGAGGAACTGTCTCCAGGCAGGGCCCTGGCACGCAGGGACCCTCAAAGAACTGATGGTGTCCTGGGAGCAGGTGTAGTGTGGGTGGCCAGTGCTGTGATGAGGGTGCTCCAGGGGCTGGGGGCAGGAGGCAGGGCGAGCAACCCTCCTTGCGTGAATCCAGGAGGGATTTACCATGGGGACGTGGGCTGGGCCTCCGAGGAGGAGCTGCAGGGTCAGCAGACGAGAAAGGCTTTGGGCAGAGGCTCTGATAGGAACAGAAATTGTCAGGGAGTTTGACACTGAGGTTCCCCCAGGTGGTGTATACAGTGGCTTCTGCTCTTCTCCAAGAAAGGAGCCTGGGAACCTGGGACCACCAGATCCACAACCTTTGGGGGAGGTGCCAACATGGGTTGCAGTCACTCCCACTCCCCCAGAAAATCCCCACAGAAAGCTCTCCTGCAGAGATGTGTGGGTGTCTCCCTTAATGCTCTGGGCCTCCGGGCCCCTTCTCCCCTCCTCGCAGGGAAAGGCATGGTCTCACTCAATGGGCACTGCGGGCCTGTGGCCTTCCTGGCCGTGGCTACCAGCATCTTGGCCCCCGACATCCTGCGGAGTGACCAGGAGGAGGCGGAGGGGCCCCGGGCCGAGGAGGACAAGCCAGACGGGCAGGCCCATGAGTCTGTGTCCACACCCGACAGCCACGTGGGCCGTGAGCTGACCCGCAAGAAGGGCATCCTCCTGCAGTACCGCCTGCGCTCCACGGCCCACCTCCCAGGCCCACTGCTCTCCATGCGCGAGCCGGCGCCCGCCGACGGCTCGGCCCTGGAGCACAGCGAGGAAGACGGCTCTATCTACGAGATGGCCGACGACCCCGACGTCTGGGTGCGCAGCCGGCCCTGCGCCCGCGACACCCACCGCAAGGAGATCTGCTCTGTGGCCATCATCTCCGGCGGCCAGGGCTACCGCAACTTCGGTGGTGCCCAGGGCAGCTGGAGGCCGGCCCCATGTGGGGAGACGGACAGCACCCTCCTCATCTGGCAGGTGCCCCTGACGCTATAGCCACCGCCCGGCTGGGAGCGCTGGGTGGAGTCCCCCTCTGGGGATCTGCACGGGCTGGCGGCCAGCCCGGATTCTTCAGGAAGGACTTGGGCAGAGCAAAGGCAAACCTCTTCTTTAAAAAAAAATTTTTTTCAGAATGTTTTGGGGAGGGGTTTTAGGACTTGGGAGAGGGAGGACACATCTGGAGGACATGGTGGCCTTCTTTCTAAAAGCAAAAAACAAAACAAAACACAGAACCTCACAACTGCCCAGCAAGCCCAGTACCACTTGTCCGGCCTGAGGGGCTCAGGGCAGTAGCTGTGCGTCTCTCCGGGAAGGGCGTGTGCGTGTGTGTGCTAGCGTGTGTGGGCTGGCGTGTGAATATCTATAAATACGTATATATGGTGTATATTATATGTGTATAAATAGAGTCTGTACATATTGGAGCTCTGGGGGATGCTAGAATAAAAGGCGAGAGTCACGTCAGCCCTCGGGCTGAGGTTTTGTTGTTTTGAGACCTGATGGGGACAGACAGGGTCAGCCGCAGTTTACTCGGGGCCTGGGAGCCCCTCTGCTCTCAGCGGGAGGATTTAGGCTCTGCGAGAGGGCCAAGCCACTGCAGGAATTGGCTCTCGAACCTCTCGGTCCAATTCGGTTGCCCTTAGGCCCAGGTGGCTAGTTAATTTTTAAATCCATTAAAATTAAATTAAGCATTCAGTCCCTCAGTCACCCTAGCTGCGTTTCAGGTGTGGCTTGAGGGGCCGCACGGGGTGAGAGGCGACAGGTGAGACACACAGATATGACTGTTCGCGTCATCGCGGGACATTTGCTTCTGCTTCGGAAGGGCTCTGGGAGATTCTTTTCTGAATATTTTTTGCCAAAAAGGCTGGGCCACCCTGCTCTGGACTGGCATGGAGGCAGAAGGCCTCGGTCTAACGGCAAAGCCAGGGAGGGCAGGGAAACAGAAGGACTCCAGCAGGCTGGCAGTCTGTGCATCTGGGGGTCCCAAGGCTGGGGGGTCTGAGGGAAGACCAGGTGAATTCCAGAGAGGCCTGTAAGCAGTGGGAGCAGAGTCCAGGCTGAACGCGGGATTGATGGTGGGGAGGGAGACTTGCCTGTGGCCCTGGCTTCTCCCTTCTGGCTAAATCCCTCAGACTTCTAGAGCTAACTGCAGGGGGAAAAGAAACAAAGCCGCCGCCCAAAAGGGGAGTGTCTCCTCCTCTTTCCCACCCCTGGCCTCTCTGTCATCTGTCCGTGTCTCTCCACCCACCACTCACTCACCCACTGATGCATGCACTGAGGCCTTTTGTCAGAAGCTCTGGGAATCCAGTGGAAAAGCCACCAAGGAGTGGACATTCCATGGGTTCTGACGGCCTTCTAAGATCTTACCCACTAGGGAACCGCTTGGGGCCCAGCTGTCAGCTGGGCACTGCGCTTGTCACTGGGGCCGTGGAGGTAGATGAGAAGCAGCTGTCTGTGTGCACAGGAAGTGCGTGGTCGGAGGGGAGGACAGGAAAAATAGCAGCGAGTCGGGGCTTGGGGAGGGGACAGAGGAACAGCCCACGCACAGCTGGCGGGTGAGCAGAGGTGGGCTTATTCCCAGAGGCCAGGTGTCCCGTGTGCGTCCCCAGGAAGGGGAGAGAAGAGGCTGTGCCCAGAGGAACCAGGACCCCTGCGGGCCTGGCTCCCACACTGACTACAGCTCAGATGCATCCCATCTTCTCTGGGCCTCAGTTTCCCATTTTGTACCAAAAGAAGAACCATCGCAGCCCTGGGCCCCTCTCATGGGAGACGGTAAGCGTCTTGTTTCCATTTTTAATGCTCAAGTTGGTCATCAAATGCCCCATCTTGACAGGTCGCCCAGTGGGTACATTTATACTATTAATCAAATGTCACCCCAAATATTTCTGGGACAGCGGCCGGTGAGCCGAGACTGCTTGGGATGAGGAGGAACAATCCTGGACTCTGGGGTCTGACAGGACTCGGGTCAAGTCTGGCCCCGCCAAAGCCCTGCTGTGTGGCTCCCAGCACCCTCCTCGATGTCCTCATCTCTGGAACCGAGAAGATGGTGTCATACACAGTTGCTGGGGGCTCGTGGTCTGGCCACGGGAGGCACCCAGAACAGGCTCCAACGGTGTTTTTGTGACAATTCTTTACATGCTTGCTCCTAACGATTTGAAGCAGACTGTTCTTAAGAAGCCTCCCCTGCCGGGGAGGGCTTGGCACCTGAGAGCTCTGTGGACCTGTTAGATCCTCAACCTACAGATGGCTCTGCTGAAGGGGACTCGGGAGACCTTAGGGCCCGTGGAATCCCGGCACTGAGAAAATGACTGACTTTGCTACTCTAGTGAAATGATCATATCAGTCAACAGCTCGTCTCCGAGCCTCTGACAACAGAGCGGGGGTGGACAGGGGCACCACACATGGCTCCCCAGACGCACCGGGGACGTGTCTGGCATGTGAGAGGAGGCCCGGCTTCCGATATTGATAAGCGTCATCATACCTATAGCGCTCGTTGGATCCCACATGGCTCCTTGAGTAGCTGCCTTGGTTCATCTCATTTTGTAGGTGCGGGGTCTGGGGCTTGGGGAATGTGAGTCACTTGTTCAGGAAGCTTCAGGACCCAAAGTCAGGCCCAGGACCGAGGTCTGTCTGCCTCCGAGACAGACCCTTGACCGCCAGGCTACGCCGCCTCCAAGAGCAAAACCTTGTAGACAAGTTAGAGACTAGGGAGCAACTGCGCTTTGCCCACTTTCTAGTTGTGTGACATCGGGCAGATGCTGTGATCTCTCTGAGTCTCAGGGAGGGGGTGATAACAGCCCCTGCCACGGGAACTGTCATTTCGTCAGTATTTACCGGACACCTGCTCTGTGGTTTCAGGTAGGTCCTGGGTGGTGTGGTGAACAAGACGAAACCTGCAGGCACCCACCCTCCATTCTTCTGGCAGAAGGGGAATCACTTGAGGGTTTTGAGCAGAAGAATGACACCACTGGTCTTCTGTTTTCATTTTTTCATTTTTATTTTTTTCGAGTCAGGGATCTCGCTCTGTCGCCTGGGCTGGAGTGCAGTGGCACGATCACGACTCACCGCAGCCTTGACCTCCTGGGCTCCAGTGATCCTCCTGCCTCAGCCTCCTGAGTAGCTGGGACTATAGCCATGCACAGCCGTGCACAGCTAATTTTTAATTTTTTTTTTTCAGAGACGAGGTCTCGCTGTGTTGCTCAAGCAGGTCACAAACTCTGGGGCTCCAGCGATCCTCCTGCCTCAACCTACAAAGTGCTGGGATTACAGGGCACCGTGCCTGGCCTAGTCTGTTTTCAGGCCATCGCTTTTGGCTATCAAATTAAGAATAGCCCGTGGGGGTAGGGGCAGAAGTGTGGGGCCCAGGATCCTCCCACCCCCACATTGTGAGCTATCTGGAATCCTCTAGGTGCTGGGGTCAGGGTGGGCATCAGTGGGGAGGGATCAGATTCCTGATGGATTCTGATGTTCTCGAGCCTGCAGGGTTTACAGATGAATGGGTTGGGAGGGAAAGAGAGGTGTCAAGCCTGCCCCTAGGGGTCTGGCCTGAGTGGGAGGACAGAACTGCCAGCTCCCGAGGCAGGGTGGTTGGGGACGGGCAACTTTTCCGTGGGAAGACCGGGAATGGGGTTTTGGGCCTCTACACATGCGCTGTAGGGGGATAGGTAAAGGTGTGAGTTTGGAGGTTGGCAGAGAGGACAGGGCCTGGATGAGCCTTTCCAGGGGCAGAGTCAGGGCGGTCACCGAGGAGGTGAGCAGTGAGTCCAGGGAAGGCTGGCCTCAGGAGGGCGGAGGCTGAGCAGGAAGCGCCAGTGAGGCTGAGGAGGTGGCCCCGGATGAAGGGGGAGGACCAGGAGAGCACGGCCCTGGAAGCCCTGGAGAGGGCTCAAAGGAGAGAGAGGGCTCAAAGGAGAGAGAGTGATCTGCGTGGAATGATCCTGAGAGTGAGAGGAGACCTGAGACCGACCTTGGATTTAGCCACATGGAGGCTGTCTGTGACCTTGGCCTTGGCCAGGCGTTTGGGCAGAGTGGAGGGGAGAAAGCCTGGAGGCACAGGTGGGAGATGAAAGCATCCGAGCAGGGGTCCTGAGGGGAGAGCATCTGAACAGCAGGGGTCCTGGGGCGGAGAGCATTTAAGCAGTAGGGGTGGGGGAGGAGTATCCCAGCCGTGGGGGCTCTGGGCGGGGAGAACATCTGAGCAGCAGGGGTCCTGGGGGGGAGAACATCCGAGCAGCAGGGGTCCTTGAGGGGAAAGCGTCCGAGCAGTGGGGGTCCTGTGGGTTCTGGGGCCCCAGTGGTCAGGGTGGGTGGGGGGCGCTGCCGATGGCCCAGCCACGCAGGCCCCGGCTCAGCTCGGCCCACGTGTCTTCTTCCCCTTGCCCTCGCCCTCGCGGGAACGCTGCCTTCTCTACCTCAGGTGCAGGCATGGACTTCAGATAAGGCCCGTGGTCCTGAGGCAGCCGGGAGCCAGCCCTGTCTCCCTGTGGGACTCGGCACAGCTGCTGACGGGAGAATCTCAGGATGGTGGCACGTCGCCTCTACCGCCACCCTTGGGTGCCCCAGCCTCTGTCACCCCTCAGCCGGGTGGCCACCGAGGGTCTCTTCCCACCCCTGTGCTCAGGCCCGGGAGCACCAAGGCCCTGCACCCCCACCCTTCGGGGAGGTGAGGCTTGTCCCCGGAACATCCCTGGTCTTGGACTCCAAGGTTAGAGGGAGGAGGCTGAGGCTGGCTGGCTGGCCTCACCCAGCATCCGGGCAGCCTCCAGCCTGGGAGCTCACCTGCCCTTTCAGACACAGCTGCTGCCTATGGTGGGGAGACCTGCAGTCCCCCTGGGGTCACAGAGGGGCCCTCTGGCTGTGTTCATTAACTGAGCTCATTTTAGTCTGGAGACCCCAGAGTGGAAAACCTTTGTTCTTAAAGATGACAAAGCCATTTAAGGGCTTAAGCTGCTTCTCTAGGGCTGATGCCGTCTATGTGGGACAAATGGACAATTCCCAGGTGACCCTCCTTCCCTTCCCTCTGTCTCCTACCTGGCATCTGAGTCCGGGGACATTCACAGGACACAGCGGTAGCAGGGTCCAGGCATCGGCACGGTGGCAGGGGCGGGATGGTCTGTGTCCTCTGCCCTGGCCCCTTGCTGTGGCCCCAAGACATCCTGCCATGGTGGTCTCTCCCATCCTTGGGTGCCACCCGTGAGCCTCAGCCCCACCTCTGGTCCCGGGCCCCTCACCTTCTGGCCTCTCAGCCCCACCTTGGGTTTCCCCGGGGCCCACGCGCTCCAAGCCCCTCCACACCCCTGGGCACTCACAGACACAGGAGCCCGACCCCCCACTGCCGTGCTGTCCCCAGTGCTCTCCCATCCTAGGGAAATGTCAGGGACACAGACCCCTGCCCACAGGCTCTCCAGACCCCTCTAGCCTGTCTGACTTCCTCCCGGCTGCTCAGGCCCGGGAGTGGCAGAGGG